AGGGTTTTTCATGTCTCTATCTCCCTCAGTTCTGCTCTGATCTTAGTTATTTTGTGTCTTCTGCTAGTTTCTAAATTTATTTGCTCTTGCTTCTCTAGTTCTTTTAATTGTGATATTAGGGTGTTGATTTTAGATCTTTCCACTTTCTCTTGTGGGTATTTTGTGCTATAAATTTCCCCTAAACATTGCTTCAGCTGGGTCCCAGAGATTCTGGCATGTTGTGTCTTAGTTCTCATTTGTTTCAAAAAACTTATTTAATTTTGCCTTAATTTCGTTATTTACCCAGTAGTCATTCAGGAGCAGGTTGTTCAGTTTCCACGTAGTTGTGCTCTTTTGAGTGAGTTTCTTAATCCTGCATTCTAATTTGAGTGCACTGTGGTCTGAGAGACTGTTTGTTATGATATCCATTCTTTTGCATTTGCTGAGGAGTGTTTTACTTCCAGTCATGTGGTCAATTTTAGAATAAGTGCTATGTGGTGCTAAGGAGAATGTATATTCTATTGATTTTGGGGTGGAGAGTTCTGTAGATGCCCATTAGGTCCACTTGGTCCAGAGCTGAGTTGAAGTCCTGAATATCCTTGCTAATTTTCTGTCTCATTGATATGTCTAATATTGACAGTGGGGTGTTAATGCCTCCCACTATTATTGTGTGAGGGTTTAAGTCTCTTTGTAGGTCTCTAAGAACTTGCTTTACAAATATTGTGCTCCTGTATTAGGTGCATATATATTTATGATAGTTAGCTCGTCTTGTTGCATTGATCTCTTTACCACTACATAATGCCTTTTTTTTGTCTTTTTTGATCTTTGTTGGTTTAAAGTCTGTTTTAGCCTGGCGTGGTGACTCACACCTGTAATCCCAGCACTTTGGGAGGCCAAGGCAGGCAGATCACCTGAGGTCAGGAGTTTGAGACCAGCCTGGCCAACATGGAGAAACCCCATCTCTATTAAAATATAAAAAAATTAGCCAGGTGTTGTGGCAGTTGCCTGTAATCCCAGCTACTCTGGAGGCTGAGGCAAGAGCATTGCTTAAACCTGGGAGTCAGAGGTTGCAGTTTGCCAAAATTGCGCCATTGCACTCCAGCCTGGGCGACAGAGCAGGACTCCGTCTCAAAAAAATAAAGTCTGTTTTATCAGAGACTAGTTGGAAAATCCTAAGATATACAATATTTGCCTGATTTCTAAAAGTTCTACCTCTTACACACAGAATGTTTTCACGTGAAATGTAGGATATTTTCCAGGACATTGCAGAGCCCTGAAAGCCAAAGATGACACTGATCGTATAACTAAGTTTCCAGGAAGAAGCGGGGAGAGTAGATACCCCAGAGCTGAAGGCCAATTTCTAGAACCCAGATGGTTCCCATGAATAGTTCATCTACACAAGACACCGACTTTGCTCCTCAAAAGACCATCGGGGAGGTATAGTCTGCTGTCCCCTAGAATCAGGCCCTCAAGGGCTGGCTCAACTCTCAATACTACTTAGAATTACACAGTATTTTGCATCTTCAAAGAACTATGCAGACTTTAACCAATTATTCTGTTCTTGGCCCAATGCCAGGTTGCACTATCAAGATTTGACAAACTCTTTGTACTCTCTCTAGTTCTGTAGGAATGTAGGTTTGTCTATTTCAATCAAAACTGAAGCCAAGCTGGACCTTCAGCCGAAGGAAGCCTTGATGATTTAATATTTAATACAAACATCCTGTTCTCATAAACCAATGCTCTTTAACAGAAAAAAAGAAGTCATTAGAACACAGCTGAGCAAAAAGGGAAAAGGTTATAAACTTTGAAAAGAACTAAATAGTTAATGTTTGGAGCTTTTAAAATGTTTTCAACAGTTGTGCAGATGTGGTAACTTGGGGGGTGGTTGAGTTTTCACTTCATCTCCTTTCATCTGCCTATGGGTGCCTATTATTAAAGGTTTACATTTTGTTTATGCTCTCTGTGATACGCAGATATTTTCTTTCCCTTTTGAATTTCCTCTTTCTTTTCCTCTGCGACTTCCCTGCCTTTTAAGCACTGAACTGATGAAGAGCAAGAGAGAAATTAGTCCTAGAAAATAAGGCTGTCTGCTTAAAACAAGATCCAGCACCATATAGGAAGCTGCAGCCTGAGTGGCCCCACCTTACCCTTTCTCTAGCCTAATCGCTGACCCAAGGGGACCACCCTCTCATTCGAGCTTTTCCTCACAGCCTCCTCTGTGAGGAAACAAGCCCTTCATGATGGAAATCAAGGCAACTGGCTACAAATGCTAGAATTTTACTGTGGCAAAAATATCTCCACTTTTCTTGAGACTTCTGGAGAAGAACCAAGACCCACCAAATACTGTTTGTCATCTGGTTTTTATTTTAAAGCCACATGGCATTTGCACTTCTCCTTGAGTGACAAGTTCTATGACAACCCAGCCCTGGCTTTCCCACTTGTCCATAGGACTTTATACTAATAATTTTGGCATTGAATGTGCTCATAAATATCCTACCAGGGAATCGAGCTGTATGATCATCTCTAAAATATAAGGGGTCAACACTAATAAAATTATGCCACAATCAAAGATAGAAAAAAGTGAAAACAACTTAGGTTTCACATAGCATTAGCAGTCAACAAGTCGTTATTTTATGGTGGGCACTTGGTGAGTAAAGTTTCCACTAGATTCTTCAGCACTGTTAATGGCTGACATTTAGTGAAGCATAAAAAAACAGAGGTTTGTAAGAATCCCAGAAAAATTCCCTCCCGCAGATTCCCATGCCCAGAATTCCATTTAACAATGTATTGAAATCATATTCTCACTTAAAGGCTTGACTCCAGCGACCCCAATGTTTTTAACATTTTCTTATTTCTTAAATCCCTGTATTATCTGTTATATACGGTATATATATATATATATATGTCTTTCATGTCATACTGCCTCTTAATATTATATTCCCATATTATTTATGATTTTATTTGTAAGTATATGTTTCATCTTTTTTATCATAGCTGTGGGGAAGCAAAACCTGAAACAAGATGTGAACTTAGATGGCTTTTGAGGAAAAGGCCTTGGAACCAGGAGTGAGAGAACAGAGAGAATGAGATAGGGATGGAGGAAAAGCTAACAGAAAAATGCATTGTCAAGGTTGCTGCTATGGACACCAAGGCTCAATTCTGTGAAGTATACCAAGAAGCAGGGAAATACCTCCCAGAATTGTCTGAGTATAAGGCAGGCAGCTGGAGCATCTCCTCACCGGCTCCCATCCCTCACTGTTTGAGCATCACCCCTAGGGGTATTGATTCTACAGGTCTTTTGAGTGGTACTTGTAAGCCAAACGAACTCAAGCTCCCATGGCTTGGCAGAAAGCCCTGGGACAGAAAAGAGAAAGCCACACAGCATGCCCTTGAAATGAGAAGCTAGCCACTGAAGTTGAGCCTTTAGTTCATGGAACTGTCCCCCTCATGTGGGCTGAAATCAGAGGTGAGCTGTGAGTTTGTGATGCCAATACCAGATTCATTTGCCCTGCGTCTTTTCACCCCAACTTGGACAGCAGGTTTCTCAGGACAAAGGCTAGTTTGCACAACTGGTGCCAGTCAACAAACCTAGCACAGTGCCAGACGTTTGAAAAGATCTGAGGTAAATATTTCTTGGTAGGAACAAGTTTAGAATAAATCAGTCACATATCATGTATCCCCAATGTCTTTTTTCTCTTTTTTCATTTTACTTATTCTCAATTTCACTTGCCACCTTTCTTCCCCCCCCCCCCATAACAACAAAAAAGGAGAGTTGAGCTGGCATAGAAAGAACATTGGAACTTCAAATGTACAAGACTGGGTTTGAGTCTTAGATCGATCTTAAACTGACATTGGGCAGGTGAAAACCCTCTCTGAGATTTGATTTCCAAATCTATAAGATGCTTTCCTCATGAGCTTGATGTAAAACTGAGTATATGCCCATGTGAATCACTTTGAAACCATGGAAATGAGTGCATACATAAGGGCCATTCTTCCCCCTCATCCCCATGAACTGCTGCTTTCTAAGTATCTACTCTTCCAGTCAAAAAGTCCTGAGCATTCCTACCTGCTGGGGATTCATGAAGCACAGGGAAGTAATATAGCCTAGTCAGGGTCCTCTGCTTACAGATAAACCCTGAGCCATTTCACAACTTCTGGTCCAAATTCTTCTTCCCAGAAGAGTAGATCTCATCGGTACCCTTTAGTAAGAAAACACTGTTATGCAAAGAAGCCCAAATCAGCCACTTTATTCTTGGAATCTTCCCTTACTTCCCAAAGTAAGCCTTCTTTTATTACGTCTTTAGTATCAGTTACCTACTACCAAAAATAATTCTTGCATAATAAATCATCCCCAAATTTAGTAACTTAAAGCAATAATCACCATTTTAAAAAGGGAAATGGATTGATGGATGAATAGAAGGATGGGTGGTAGATGAATGGATATGTGATTTAAAAATAAACAGTAAAATATTAGGTATATGGCTGTTCATTTGACAATGTTTTTAATCTTTCTGTATGTTTGAAGTTTCTCATTAAGAAATGTTGAAAGAAAAACCAAGAATTTATTTAGTTTATAAACATATGGGTTCCTCTGCTCTTGGATAGGCTAAACTGATCTTCATGGGGCTTGCTCATGTATCTGCCCTATTACAGGATTCACTTACGGAGGCCCGGATAGTCTATGATGGCCTTAACTGGGATGGCTATCCTCCATGATTCATCCTCCTGCAGGATGTTTACATGATGGTCACAGGAGTCTCAGAGAACAAGTGTAAGTGTTCAAGGCTTCTTGTGTCCTTGGCTGAGACATGTCACACTATTGCTTCCACTAGACTATTGGCCAAAGCAACTCGTAAAGCCAGCTCAGATTCAAGAGACAGGAGAACAAACAGGAAGGGTGAAGAATTGGTGTTGTTTTTGCAATCTTCCACATCTACCTTGCTGGTTGCTAATCATTGTTTCTACAAAGCAATGGGCCTCTACAGTCAGACTTACTGACTCCCTACATTTTTATCACTTACCATCATATGCTTAGGACCCTCAGAGTCTAGAAGTCCTCAGATGGTGCTTTAAGATCCATATGTTGATCAGGTGAGTCTTTAGACCAGGTACAGTTAGTAATTGCCCTCCTGAAATAATAACCAGGGAGTGAAGATACTACTATTCATACTCAGGTTTGGGGTCCTATTATCCCAGCCATCTCTATTATTCAATCCTATGGCTTGCCCTAAACCCATATATCGCCCTCTGCCACCCCTTGAAGAACACACAACTTCCCTATTTCCCTTCATCTGTTGCTTGTGGGCTACCTTTATAAGCTAAGATGAGGTAACTGACCCATGTTTCCCAGGGCATGGGCTTCTTTCTGCCCAGCAGAGGTTTCAGGGTCCATCAAGCCAGCCATCTGCTCTCTCTCCTGGACCTCCTTGTGTTCAAGGAAATGAGGCCAACATGAGCAGTGCAGCCTTGGGTCAGAGAATAAACTCTCTTTCTCTATGGAGTCCTATACACATGCCTGAGGTGTAGCCTCCAGTGTCATTAGCATCATACTCATGGACAACTGGCTCTGACAGCTGACAATGAGTTACAGCAAATATAAGACTTTAAAAACTGGGAAACCTAGGAAGCATGGCCTTCTTCAAAGCTGAGCCATGTGGAGGTTCTTTCAACAACCTTACATTACAAGTCTCAGTAAAGAGAAGCAGACAGTGAGACCTACTTCCTAATAAGGACCATTGAGTTCTTAGTAAGCTGGCTATGGAATTAAGCCTTACTTGTGAGTCACTCACCAAACTCAAAAGACTATGAGATTTATGAGTTTTTAATTAGCCTTTTCATTGCATCATTAGTACCTTCTCCACTACTGCAAAGCAGAAAGGTGTAATTTTATAGCGTTTACTGATCATGTTATTTGATTAAGGATAACAGCTAGCCTGCCTAGCATTCTTAAGAGCTGAGGAAAGGAGCATGAGAGCTCAGAGTCAGGAGGGGTGGGAAGGGAGACATCAGGGAAAAGCAAACACTTTTAGCCGTACACGCATGAAATCACTGACTCTTCACCCATTCTGTTTGGAATAAAAGATATTATTAGCACGGCCTGTCATAGGACAGCCTTAGTTTATTAAAATAAATAAATAAATAAGGGGGTGGAGAAAGAGCAGGGAAGTGAAATATTTGCAACAATGATTCATTTTATATCAAATCATAGGTCAGATGGTGCCAGAGACTCAAGTCACACCCATCATAAACACAAACCAGACACTTCTGTCCACCAGACCTCTATTTAGACTCAAAAAGCAGGCACAGTTGTAGTGACTTACTGAGCCCTTCCACCCAGCTTGATTTCTTTACCTGTGAAATGAGTTAAAACTAAGGCCTTCCTCAGATGTTTTCCATCACTAATCATTAACATTCTGGGATCCCAAAGCCAATATCTGATACTTGTCTTCTCCATGCCATTGCCTATGCCAGGAACTCTTATCAGTGCCATGAGTCCCAATAATCCTGGAAGGCTGGCATCATTCTAAACTCTATTTTATTAAAGAAGAAACTGAGACTTACATGGGTCAGGAGCCTTGCCAGATTCTCTGCTTTGCACAGCCAGGTGCAGGATGACCATTGTGGGCAGCCTCAGGTCCCACTCACACCAACTGAGTCAGAATCTGCATTTAATAACTACCCCCAGGTGATATGTACCCATGTTAATGTCTAAGAAGTAGTGCCCTAGGTCACAAAGCCACTGAATATCAAAGCCAGAAGGCACACTGAAATCCTCTGATGCTGCATCTTGTACTTTTTCTACCCATACCACATCCATGATTTCTCCTTCCAGAAGAAACTTACCCATTTAGCTCTTCTTACCAAATCTGGTCAGGGTGTTGTGCAAATCTCAGGATACCCTCTGCCATCTTTATCTTGGTATTCTTTAAATCCATCAGGCACTAACAGAATAATTCCCTGAATGGTTTGCACTCTGCTGCCACTTCGTAATTAAATTAAACTTTAAAAAAATAGATCTAGGGGGTACAAATGCAATTTTGTTACATGGCTATATTTCGTAGTGCTGAAATCTGGGCTTTCAATGTAACCATCACTTGACCATGGAATACTACTCAGCCATAAACTAATTATTAATCAGAAATGACAGCATTGCCAGTGGCCTTGGAAATAAGAGATAAACTAACTTTTCAGTCACTTCAAGAATAAGAACTTAGGATACAACCTAAAAGAAAAGCAAAGATTTTTTAAAATCTTTTGTTGACAGTGAAGCAGCAAAGAACCATGGAGGGCACCAGGAAGATCTTTCGTTAACGAGACTTGTCCCTGGCTTCTCTCTCGATGCTTTGGCTTAAAAGACATCAGAGGGGACCTCCGCTGTTAACAGTGATGGTCTGGAGACCCCCAGGCAGGCCAGCCCCCCATTAGTTGGGTTACTCTGGAGTTGTAAACACAGTGCTCTCCCAATCTGTTTTCTAAGATGAACTGTATATAAAGCATGTGTGTGGCAGGAGATGATAGCACACTTGAGGCTTTCAGCAATCGATGTTTACAGACTATAATGGGAACCACAAGTTTCTTCTTTAACTCAAGTCAGTATACATTCCTTCAACCCACAGGCATATTGGAGCAGGGAAGGGGTTGGGAGACGTTCGCAATGAGTCATCATTTCACATTTTTTAACAGCTTAATGAACATGTAGAAATGCCGCATTAGCCAGCAAAAATACAGTCTTTTTTTCTCCCAGCAAATTCAGCAATGACCCTATTTGGACGTGAGATTCCTTTAGCATCTACTTTAAGTGACTTCCCTAACAGAAGGTAAGTGACTAAATGTCTAGTCTACCACAGAGCTACAGGCAAAAGCATATGAAGAGCCCCATAACTAAGTTAATATCCTGCCTTCAAGTTAATAACTTGCCCTTGTTTTGCCCTAAGTTTGGGAGCAGGGAAACATTATTTCTCCTAGGTTCCATTAATCCTCTGAAAAACCCAGTCCAGGATGCTTGAAAAAGAAGACAGAATTCTCAGATCTGCAGAGCAGCTCTCTCAGCCAAGATTCATGGTGCTAACAGACAGATGGTAAATAAAGCTGGGTTCTAAGGCTACAGCTGTGTGCCTCTGCATCTCTCAGATCTATGTGTGTGATCATTAACATTTTTTAGATCATCTAAAATAGCATTCTCTGTGTGATCTTGGCAACTTCAGTATTTCTGACGTTCTTTTATATTTTATGTGCAGAGGCCACATGCATAATATGGGTAAAATAATGAAAAAGTGTGTGTTTGTGCATAGATATTTTAATACTATATTATATAAGTCATTCGTCTCTTAATAGCTGTTTGAATTAAGAGGGTAGAAACTGAGTTTTTTCCAAGTTTTGTCCTAAGGATCAAATAAATTGTCTTTTCACACTTTTGTCTCTGTTTCTTCATCTTCTTTTTTTTTAATTATACTTTAGGTTCTGGGGTACATGTGCACATCATGCAGGATTGTTGCATAGGTACACACATGGCAAGGTGGTTTGCTGCCTTCCTTCCCCCATCACCTACATCTGGTATTTCTCCCGTTATCCCTTAATACTATAAGCATAAACTAGCACTCAAGCCAACTACAAGATCTGAAGGATTCTACTTGTCCTATGAATCAAAATTTGCATTTTTAGATCACCTGTGCAAATTTTGTATAAGCCTGAAGGAAAGAGGTTTTGAGTCACTCAGTCTCATAAGAATTCTGTGAGATTTTCTTGAATGTACAAAAAAATAAAATGCAAGCATAATATTTCTGGAATGATGGTGGGATATAAAACCTTGAGATTTTATGGACACTTTCTCATATCCCTACAGACTGGCTTTTCAACTACCTGCTATTTCAGGCAGTAATTCATTTAAAGATTGAATTGTAACTCCTGTAATATTTGTGACAATGGAGAAAAATATTCCCGTTACATAATTTTATATGAATTAAATTGAAGTCCCGCTCAAATTAATCTGAAATTCTTTTGATAGGTGCTGATAGAATTATAGATTTGAAAAGTAGACACATTTTTAGTCTGCTTTTACTTGGGTAAATTACTCTGAAAAAGCAGATTTAACCTTTGTTAATTCACCTAAAAAAGAGGTTGCCTTTGTATATTTATTATTCAATCCTGTTAGAACACATTACTAGTTAGCATAGTCTTCTGAGAACTTCTTCAAGATAATTTCATAACTTTTAGCTCAGTTTTCACATTTTTTTCTTTTTCTCTTGAGCAAGAAGGAAAGAATCAAGTCATGAGTCCTATGCATTATGAGGCCTGAAAGGGAAGTTTTAAATATATACAAGTGATATATAAACATATTTGTCCTTTCATTCATTATTTATTCTTTCAGTAGATAATTATCGAGGATCTAGTAAGTGTGCTACACAGGGTGCTGGAAGGCTCTGATGTACAAAAGTGACAGAGCCTGCATAGCACTCATGTAACTTCCATTTTCATGGGGCTTTAAAGGGTTCATAGAGATGATTGACAAACTAACAAATTAAGTAATAAAAATAGTAAATGGCTATGTAGAAAATTAAAGATATATGGACTTTATTTGGATTCTGATTGGAAAGTCAATTGTAAAAGACATTTTTGAGACAATCAAGGAAAACAACGCCAATTGCATATTTGATGATGCTAAAGAACGACTTCTAGTTGTGTTATGTGATAGTGGTTTTGCAAAGATGTTAAAAAAGAACATATAAATAATGTCTGCCAGCTTCATCCATGTTGTTACAAATGGCAGGATATTCTTTTTTAAGGTCTAATAATATTCCATTGCATAAACATACCAAAATTTCTTTGACCTTGAGGACTATAGTTAATATTTTCTTATACATTGAAAACTTGCTAAGAAGGTAGATTTTATGTTATATTTTTTAGAGCAAAAATAAAAAGGTAGCTGTGAGGTAATGGGGTCGTTAATTCCCTTGACTACAGTCATCATCTCACTAGGATATGTGGATCAAAACATCACGTTGTACACCTTAAATATAGATCAGCAAAATAAACAATGCAAATTAAAAGATAAGGAAAGTCCTTGTCCACTAGAGATACATAGAGAAGTGCTTACAGGTGAATTTGCTAGAATTTGAAACAAGCTATCCTT